TCATGAGATTTTAATTCTCGCACTGCATGGATGTGAGTTTTTCTCCTGAAATTTCACCTTTCAGCACAGCTGGTTTCCTAACGTTTCGAATGCAGTGTGTGGTGTGAGTGCTGCTATTGAGACTAACTTCTAACAGATTTTTTTTAGTGGCTGTTGATACAAAGACGTGTTCCAGAGATTTTTCTAAAACATTCTGTACGAAGTGTGGTGTGTGTGTGAAACTGAAGATTGAAGGTGATTATATAGTGGATGTGTGAATCATGTTCTCTTTCTCTTGGGGTCCGGTGCTCTGCTGTCTCCACTGAATTGACCGGCTCTCTTTAACCCTCCTCCTCCCCCTCCCTCCTTCCCCTCCCCCACCTTCTCCCCACCCTCACTCTTGTCACCACTCACTGTGTACAAGACAAAACAAAACCAAGTGTCACATTAAGATGGTTCCCATGTAGTGTCTTAACATAGTGAAAAATGTATTGTGCCTTCCATAAAGAAGTAAAAAATAATTATATATACTCACCAATTGCTGGTTGTCCCCCTTCCTGAAATACGGAGAAATGCATGTGGATAAGAGTGTCTTGTAAGAGGTAAACGACACCTTTCCAATGAAGGCCTTGGGAGGGAATTTCTTGATGAGTTCGTTGAGTAGGAAATCGACTTTCTTCCTTGCGCCTCTCGCGGTTCATCTTCTAATCCTGTCCTCTTCCTTTCTCGATCTAGTGGTGTCCATGTGTGCGTGTGTCCATGTCCGTGCGTGTGTTCAACATAACAGTGAGAAGGGAGCGAAAGAGTTTAGCTGACCTGCTTTCTTGTCATCCGGGAACTCCCAGTAGTAACCCTTGCTGGGGTCATATCTGGCATATGACACAGCTGCAATAATACACAATATCCATAGTAAAGTGAAGAGTGAAACAAGGGAGACCAACGGTACCTTCTGCAAATGCTTCTTTCACAAGGCTGAGAGCTGAGAGCTGCGGGTGAAATTATACCACAAATGAGTTAGCTCTCGGTAAAGACGAGGAAAATAAAGACGAAGGGAGGGAGAGAAGCTAACCAATCTGCAGTTGATAAGGGTCATTATGTCGGGACACTGGTAAACCACACCCATCAGAATGTAGTAGTCTGCAAGTGGAGTTACTGAAAGGGGGAGTATATAGGGGGAGTATATAAGGTGACAGACAATATGATGTTGTCGTGTAAACCTTTCTCTGGTGTGAGGCGATGGACCTTTCTGATGATATAGAGCACAGGATCCTGGACGTGGAGCAGGAGATACTCAATACCCGTCATATTACTGGGAGAAGGACGAGCAAGTAAAGCAGTATAACTAGACAGAGAGTGAGACGGGCTCACACGAGCTGGGCGGGGTCGGAGCGCTGCATTCGCACTATCTCGTTGTTGCAAGTGCGGTCGTAGAACGGGTTGGAGCGCTGCGAGAAGTAGTCCATGACGTTGTTGCGGTCCAGGGCCGGGATCCAGACGCTGTCGTGCCACGACAGAGACAGCATTTGCTGCGGATCCTGCTCCGTTTTCCCCGATGAAGCGCCGTTCATCCTTACACTCTAAATAGTGCCCACTCAAAAGTGCTGAATCGACAAGACGATGGCGGGTATTTGGCGGGAAACTTGAAGCGTGTTGTCAGGCCCTTGGGCAGTTAGACACCGACCCGGTCGACCGACAAAAATCCACGAAGCCCTGAAACGGGAGAAGCAACGCGAGGGAGGAAGTGCGAGGGAGTATGGGGATCCAGGGACTGCTGCCGTTCCTGAAGGAGATTCAGCGTGACGTCCACGTGTCGTCGTTTCGCGGGCGGAGGGTGGCAGTGGACGCTTATTGCTGGCTGCACAGAGGAGCCTACTCGTGTGCCTTACAGCTCGTCATGAAGACCGAGAAATTGGAGTCCCTGTGAGGCCCTAATTAGGGGGTGGGGACCTTCTCTAACTCATGTTATGATATCTCCAACAGACCATTCATCAAGTACTGTATGAAGAGGTTAACATGTTGCTGAACTATGACATCACACCAGTGATGATATTTGACGGTGGCTACCTTCCACTCAAGGGGAAAACAGAGAATGAACGCAGAGAGTGAGGCGTAACATGGGGTACAGATACTGTATGTGTGTGTCCATTTATTGGTGTGGTGTCCTTATCTCAGGGGGGTCACATTGTATGCAAGAAACTGCTCTTTGGTAAAGAAAAGGTGTCCTTATTAGAGAGATGTACTACATTAGACAGTGAAGCGATGCTGTAATCTGGTGGTTGCAGGAGGAGACGAGTGAACCGCGACAAGGGAAAGGCTCTGCTGAGAGAGGGGAAGAGATCGGAGGCCATCGACTGCTTCCAGAAGAGTGTGGACGTCTCTCCGGAAATGGCCCTCGCCCTCATCAAGGTAGGGGAGAGAGGGAGAAGATTTTATGGACCCAATGTCTTGAGGTACTGTAGAGTAGTTCAAACTTAGAGAGCAAACTCTTTAGCTACAACTGTAGCTGTAAGTGGAACCTTCACAGAGAAACTCTTGCAGGTATATAGCTCTACCATTATTTGCACAGTTTTCTGTGGCCCTGCTGTACAAGGTAGAGTATAGCTATGCTTGTCCATCTTTTCAGGAGTGTCGCAGTGCGGGAGTGGAGTGTATAGTGGCACCGTACGAGGCTGACTCCCAGCTGGCCTACCTCAGTAAGGAGGAGATTGTCGACCTTGTCATCACTGAAGATTCTGACCTCCTTGTCTTTGGCTGCCGAAAGGTATACACATTATTATATGTACAGTTACCAAGACGAGGGGGCAAGGAGGGAGCGAAGGAAAAGTGTGTGTTGAGTTAAAATCCTAAAACCCAAATAGGACACTTCCTTCCTCCTATATACCTTGTGTGTGTTTTTTGTGAGTGTTATGAGACCATCACTGGTTTTACCAGGTGATGTTCAAACTTGACGACTCTGGAAATGGGAAACTGATTGAAACTCAGCACCTGGGGAAGGCTAACCGTGGCCTAGTGGTGAGCATGCCTCCTTTCCTCCATCTCACTGCCTCCTTATCCTGTCCTGCTGTCCTCCTCCTCCTCCTCACTGTGGCAGGGGTTCACAATGGACTCATTTCGACACATGTGCATCCTGTCGGGCTGCGACTACCTTGCCTCGGTGCCCGGCATAGGGCTGGGCAAGGCCCTCAAGCTCATGCGACGGTTTAACAAGGATCCCTATCGAGTTAGTGTGTGCTGCAAATGCCTAGCTAATGTCAAAGAATTCAGAATGGTTCTGTACACTTCTCACAACCACAACCACCTTGCTAGCTATTTTCCGCAATCACTTTTGCCACTTGTCAAGATATTCCCAGCGGTTGTCTTTCCCCATCTTGTTTGCTAAAGACACAAGAAGCTGCCAAAACACTCTCTAATTTTGCACTCACATTCCAGCTGTATAGTACAGAAATTGTACCGGTTCCTATAGGTCATCAAGGCTCTACACTATGAGACGGGGAAAGTGCCACAGAGTTACGAGGCCAATTTCCGCAGGGCTGACCAGACCTTCCTCTACCAGATGGTGTTTGACCCTCGAACCCAGGAACAGGTCAGACTCCACCCCCTCCCCAGCGACGTGGACACCTCCGATTTTGAGTTTGCTGGAGTGTATCCTGCCTCCTTTGAAAAAATGTAAAAATTTCGCAAATGGAAAAAGTTGGTGAGTGTGGCACTCCGAAACTATTCCGAAAATCTTTTTTTGCCTTACTATTGTGTGAAAAGCCAGTCTTATACTGCGTTGTATTAGCAACTTGTATCTAAGAGGTCCTTGACTGCCTTGTGTTAGTGCCTCGTCTCCAAGGAAGGCAGTGGGAATGGCCAGAGGCAACATCAATCCTCTCAACTACGTCGTAATGGACACCTACTCACCCTCAAAGGCAAGAGACAGACAACTGCATTGACCTCCCGAGTGATTGACAAACACACTTTTCCGTCCAGCAGGTCCCTCCTCCTCCTGCCAAAAATACTGTCAGGTCGAGGTCGTGGGGTGGATCTGTGATGGGCGGAGATGGTGGGTGGAGCAAAGTCAAACCTCCCTCCTCCCTCACGTCCTCCGGGTCCATTTGGAAACACTTTAAACCTCCGAAGAAACCCAAGTCTAGACCTGGTATGTTAGCCGAAGTCAAGCGTAAATGTACACCACATTAAAACTTTGAGCTTTTCTTTGTATGTTACCTTTAGTGCTTTCTTCTCGCAAAAAAAACGAGAAATCAATTTTTTGCACTGTTCAGAGACGATAGAAGACGTGGATTCAGTCGAGGACTTGCAATCAACTTACCTGACAGCCACAATGGGAGCTAGTCAGCAGTCCCTCACCTCTGACAGCTCTACCACTACCACTGGTAGTACTGCTGCCGCTGTGGCTGAAGTGAATCCCAGAAAAGCTGGGGCACCCTTGTCTGCGTCTACTGCAGGAAATGACGAGAGAACAGAGAGTGAAGTTGGCAGGAAAAGCTTGCCTAAACATCCATCTACAAAATCAAGGTGTTGTAACTTGCACCTTGTTTTACTTCTCATGGATGATTTTGTCTCTCTCCCTGATCCAGGTTCTTCTCCACTGTTGCAAGTTGTGAGCCGTCTGTCTCATTATCTGCTGCAAATGATGAAACACCCTCCGATCGTGACGTGGCGAAGATATTGAGAGCCAAGCGACGCATCTCTCTCATTCCGCCCAAATCAAACCGTCTCCTCGGAGCCTTATCCTCTGACGCAGACGAGGGTAGCAGTCCTGGGGACAAGTCAGACGATGAGCTAATGGCCGAGCGCTGCCAGCTTAGGAGAAAGAGGCTGAATTCTTTAGACAACGAGCAGAGCGTGAGACCGAGTCTCCGGATGTTTACTTACGACACCCCGACCACAAAGAAGATAAGACGCAGCAGTGGAACTAGCCCAATATCAAGACTAGACCAAGAAAGTTCTCCGACATCAGCAGAGCCAGGGAGCCATGCCAGCAATGGGTGTGTCACTCCGTCCCCTGTGAAGAACCCTTTTGCTAAGATCAGGACAACTCCAAAGAAAAGCAGGCCTGTCCTTATCTCTGGAGATAGTGTGGGAGTGAACACAGCACCAGTAGAAAATTCCGCTAGTGACTCTCACGGGGAAGATTTGGAAGCCACACAGGAAGAAGATAATGAGAGTGGTGGAGAAATGTTGATGGAGTTCAGTTTACATGGCCATTCTTCTTCTGTTACCTCCGCTACCACGACAGCTGTTGGTACCTCACGGCCCCGCCCACCCCGACCTTTCATGACCTCCGAGGCCTACATCACTACCCGATCTCACTCCTCTCTCCTGAACCACGTCATCTCCCACTCTGAGCCTGCTGTGGGGCATGCCACCTGTTCATCTGGTCATCCCAACACACCAGGCATCAAACCTGTATGTTCATGAATGCTGCTATATTATAGTAGTGCTTGAGATGTGAAACTATTTTGTGCTTCCTTAGAGGGTGGTATTAGGTACTTCTAGGAGAAAGTTGAGCTTGACAAAATGTAAGTTTGACTCATTCTCCAGTGCAATATTAATGCTCTCTCTATTATTTTGCCGACAGCAAAGTCTAAATCTACTGGCTTCAAGGCACCCAGAAGGTCTGAGCCAGGCCAGACTAAACTCAGTCTACAGAGTCAGTTTGGTTACTGCAGCAGGTAAGCCTAGAGACCGACAAATTGTCTTTATCTGACGTGTATTTCTCTGGATGTGACTCACTGGGTGTGTTATGCTTTTCCCCAAGCCAACCCAAGATGAGCAGAGAGCAGTGATAATCTGGTATATACTCTGCATAACTTTTTTCCTTCTGACAAAACTACCTGCATTTCCTACAGTATATATTTTTTGACTAAGATTATTATATTATGCTGTTCATAGTATGGTTGCGATGAACTTTGGTATACAAAAAATATGTACGTTGTTGTATTAGCTAGGAAATGGCATATTCTGATGGGTAGAACCCTGCTAATACCAGTTCTTGAGTGATTCTCAGTAGGAGAGATAACAGCGACAGACCTAAAAAGCGAGTTTTAGACGCAGTTGTATATATGCAACTAAAAATGTTTACCTCCAGATACTGTAGAAAGTTTTGTTAGTGTAAAGAGACTTGCTTCAAAGGAGTGAATGAATCCAAACACAGACAGATAGAAGGATATGCAGTGCAGAATCTGGGAGAAAAGAGTGGGGGTTTCCTCTATTATCACTAATTATTTCACCAACTCACCATTACAGTGACGAGAGAGTTATGTGTGGTAAGATGAGGTTTTTCAAAGGCTAGCAGGAGTATTAGGTCAATGATTCCTGCACACATCAGTCCACTTGCTAGTAGCATGGATGCAGCAGCATGGAATACAATTTTTCGGTAGTAGAGAGGAAAATGGAGTTTGTTTCGAGGATACGGCGTTTTCCACCTTCCGAGAGATCTGAAGGCTCGTATTATGCGGTGCATCACTGTTGCATCTTCTGAGCACCTTGCAGTTCTGCAACATGACAAAGCTAGCGTCTCAGTAAATTATTCTAGCTGTCATCTCTGAATGCGAAAAGTGAAGTCCAGTCCATTATTGTGGATGCGCGTATACTTGTAACCAAGAAACAAGTTTGGCGGTAAAAAGTTTGCCCGGCTGGTCGGCGTGCGCGTACACAAATTAACCCGTTGTGCACGAAATTTTAGTGGAAAAGAGAAAGACGACGAGCCATGGCTGAGCCACAGCCTCAAAACAGTGCCCAGCTGCGCAAGAAGAGAAAGAAAAGTCGGTACGTGAAGCAGGGCTACCACAGGTCGGAGAGGGATGACTACAGGAGGGTGGCTGCGCGCGCATTTCTCCTGGGAATCACTCGAGACAGTCATCTCCGTGTGCTGGAGAGACAACAGTCTGACCGCGGACAAGCTCCGGCTGCCGATGAGGGACGAAACGCCAGCCCCCTCGCTATGGTCGTATCTCCAACCCGCAAAGGCAGCATTGTTCCGGCAGGCGATGCTCCTTCCCCTCCCTCCACCCCTGTCCTCGAGGCACGCTACTTCCCAACCTTCAAAATACCCACCACTGCTGACATGTCCCTCGACCCAAGCCAGCTACAGTTTCCACAGCAGCTGGGGGCCTCCAGGAGTCTGGACCAGGGTCTGGGGGAGTCACAATCTCACCACAGACTGGCCGCTGGCATAAGAACCTCTCGCTCATCCACCGACTACACAGACTCTGCGATGCCGTCCGGTGAAAATCATCCGTCGTGTCTCCTCGTCGCAGCAAAGTGGCCGACCACCGCAGAGGGAGCCATCTACCAAAACTTGCTTCCCAATTCTCAGTACTATGAGACTGGTCGTAGCTGGAGGTAATGTGTATAGCAAGACTCACTTTTCTCTCTAAAACCCGGATCATATTTCTCCTCCTACCCTCTCTCAGATTGGTGTGTACAGGTCACACACAGACTGTCGTTTCAGTTTCGTCTGTTCTTCCCTACTACAAGAAGAACATCAAGTCAAGGTCAGTGAATGCACACATACATACAACGTCCATGTTGAAATCTCAGAGAGTCTCTTTCTCTCGCTCATCAGGCACGAGACCCAGAGAGAGAGATTCAGAGCAAGAGGTAACAGCTTCTCTCTCCAGATGGACCTGGAAGGGGTGGAGCTTGGCACCACCACAGAGGTATATAGCCTGCTACACACACTCCCCCCTTTAACTGTACTAATACATACCTGCTGGATACCTAGGTACAAGTTAGCTAGAGTTTTAAGGTGGCATATCTTTTTGGCCAATTTTAGTTCTAGGAAACACATTCCTCTTTCCCCCTCCACACGACTCGTTGATGGCGTACAAAAACTGCAGGAAGTGTCGCTGGCTTTTCTTCTGAACTCCGTATGGATCTCACCAGATGTTCCCATCCTGACCTCTGACCTTGATGGCCCCGCCCTCCTCCGTAGAGGCAGCATCCGGAGGTCGGCAGAGGTGAACGTGGCCGAGGGGAAACGGAGCAGTACCCCCACCCCCCTCGCTCGTTACCTCGTCACCCCCGAGGTGATTGGGGGCGGGGACTCCGGTTCGGTGTTCCGAGGAGACCATCGCTCCCCACTGGCCGTCATCCTCAGCTACCATCCTCTCTTCTTGAACAATGACGAACTGTTTGCCAGCCCCATGACGACCACACTCACTCCACCTGGCTACCGGGCAAGTTAACAAAGTTTAAGTTTAGCTCATGCACACTGTGTCCACTGGTGAAACTCCTTCTGTACCATGTGCCTCTTTTACTTGTGTAAATTATTTTCAGGTTAGGCATTTCAGTTGTTTTATGGCAGAAATTTTTCCGATCGACTTACGCTTACTGATTCTAGGGTTCTAGCTCTAAAGGAACCTGTGTTAGTTGCTTGAAAAATTGCCGAAAATGTCCGATTTCTCCATTTTAGGTTTACTTGATCAACATTCTCTCTCAGGTATCGATCATAGAGTATGCGAGGAAGGCAGATATCAAGAAAGGGCTGAACGACAGGTTCAAAGAGATTTACCCCCACGTGGAGCTGTCTCTTACCAAACTGGACAAGTCAGTCACCAGTGTTCCTTGTCCACTGTCTGAGTCTGCTCCAGACTCTGGATTAACTTCTCTTCTCTTACAGGACCAAGAGAAAGTTGTATGAAGTGGCTACTGAGGTAAAGTAGGCTCAGATATGAACACATTTTCTCATTATGGACTCTTGTTTCTCAGCAACATCTTGACTTGGCTGCTGTGGCCTACGCTTATGTCTACTTTGAAAAGCTTGTGCTCATGGTATATATACACCATAAGGCATGTGTGTCACTGTCCACGTACACAGGGTAAGGTGAACAAGTCGGTGAGGAGACCAGTGGCCGGCGTCTGCCTACTGCTCGCAGCCAAGTTTGTTCTGGACCTCAAGAGGAAAGAAATCAGCGACCTCATTGAGGTCAGCTTGCTCTCTTCTTCATGTAACCTCTTACTTTACCTCTCGCCTCTCTCTGTATGCAGGAGATTGCAGACAATTTCAGGCTGTCTTCTCGCGAGCTGCTCCTGTACGAATTCCCAGTGTTGGCCGTCCTCCAGTTTTCTCTCCTCACTCCCAATCACCAGGCCAGATTCCACCATGAAAAACTGCTCCACGCGGCAACTTAACACACACCGTACATACCTTCCTCCCTTTGTTCGTTTTTCCAATCTGTCATTCTCACTTCCTCCCTGTCTCGTTCAATCGCTTGCCTCACTGAGAATGTCGCAAATGATACTGACCTATGGTAAACTAGCTAGTGTGGCATGGTTCCAGCGTTCTCTGCAAGGCCGACTCAATTTCCCCGAGCAGAATCTCAATCTTGACTGGGTCTGAGAAGATCTCTGGCTTGCTGTGCAGCGAAGAGTACTGCTTCATGTACTGCACCTCCTCCTTGCTCTGAAATGTAACAGAGTGGCTAGTAAATCCTCTATTGGCTGGTAACCAGGGATCTAGTAATCTGATGAGTTTGGGATCTAGTAATCTCTAGTAAATTTTGAATCTGGGCTCTAGTCTGTAGTAAATTTCTCGAACAACTAGTAATCTTTAGTAAACTCTTGCACACCAGTGTCATCAGCGAAGCTCCATCCCATTCTGGAGGAAAGGGAGTGTCATTCTCTAGCCACTGAGTCACTCTCTCTCCAACTTCCCCAACATCTAGTCTCCGTCCCTCTGGTCCAGGGGCCATGTTGAGCCAGGTGAACCTTCCACCCTTCCTGTGCCAGGTCAGCTGCTGCTGGGCCAGTGCCCTGGGAATGGGGGTATGTGGGCTCTGGAATTGGGGAATGGAGGTATGTGTGCTCTGGTATGGGGTATGTGTGCTCTGGAATGGGGGAATGGAGGTATGTGGTGTCTGGAATGGGGGAATGGATTTATGTGGTCTCCGGATATAGTATTGTATGGAATGTAAAGTTATTAAAAAACGGGCACGTGTGAATGGACATATCAGACCTTGTTCTGGCCTTGTAGGTGAAGAGAAATGACAAAAAAGACTCCTTTAACTGTTCTCGAGGAATCTGAGGCAAAAAATGAATCCAATTCAGCTCTGTGTTGCCCACACTGGCTGCTGACCTTGGGAGTGTACGGTTCTGTTCTATCATGGTCTGGGAAACCCCACGTGTCTCGAAGCCACTCCAGTGCCTGTCTGTACCCCAGACTGCGACCAGCTGGAGTGTCAGTCACCAGACCATGATGGTGGACCAGATTCATCACCTCCTGTGCACGTACATAGCATGGACTGAGGTGTTCAATTGATGTGTGGTGTGTGTGTGTGGGGTGGGGGTGATGGTTGCAAGGGTGGCTCACCTGGAAGAGACCCTGTTCCACAATGAGTTCACACCGAGAATCAATCCGCTGACACAGAAGAACACGAGGCATCGTCAGAAACAGACACTTGAAATGGAACGGCGAGGCTGAGGAGGAATAAATCATTTGACATCGGGGAAGCAGCTGGGGAGACAGACTGACAGTAGTCATCTGGCTCTTTCTTGAACGAAGTTGCAGTTCTGGAGGACGAGGAAGACAATGGAAGAGAGCATCACTACGCTCACAGAGGGCAGCAGTATATGTACCTGCCTGACTGGGTGCATATGTCCAGAGCTCTCTTCAGGCGATACCAGTCATTCATCTCCAGAGACTCTGCACACTGTGGGTCCAGTCCCCGCAGTCTCTGTAGACTACCACATCTCTCTTTCCTCTCTCTCCCTCCTTTCTCTCTCTCTCTCTCTCTCTCCTGTCTCACCTCTTCTCCCAGTCCTGTCCATCCTCCGCCACCATTGCCTCCACTCTCTCTATGGTCTCAGGTGTGGAAGCAGGGGCTCCACTGGGACCTTGCAACAGTGTCCTGACGTAGAGCCCCGTGCCTCCTACCACCAGTGGAACACGGCCTCTGGATAAGATACCCTGAAAACCATGGAGCGATAAGAGTCTATATACACTGTATGTAAGTGTATGCATAGTGAAATGAAGCCCAGTTTTATAGCTCTGTCTAGTTCCATGCAAGAGTGAGAGATTATCTCGTGAACAAACAAACTCCGTGAACCATTTGTGAGCTGGTAAGAAACCTGTATGACTGGAACTGCTAGATTGTAGTAGTCGAGAGCACTGAAAGATTGCGACACGTCCACAACATCCAGCAAGTGGTGAGGCACGTCAGGACACGAGGCCACATCGATCTTGGCCGACCCAACATTCATCTGACGATAAACCTATAAGAACCAGAGACAGTTTTCGTTGGGGAACTGTTTGGGAGGCGGACCTGGACTGAGTCCACCGAGACCACCTCTCCCTCGAGTCGACGAGCTAGCTCCAGTGAGAGATCAGTCTTACCTACTGCAGTCGTTCCTGCAATAACCACCACTTTCGTGTGTGCAAAAGAGGAGGGTATAAAGAGGAAATGTGCAAGCACACTTGGTGTTGTCAAAGTTACGTAGATACATGTCATATAAACCTGTGGGCTTCCTCTTGGTCATTATCTCTGCCATTCTTCCAAATCTCGAGCCCATTTGCGGATGACGTAATGGTTACGTCACGTTGTTGCGGGATCCCGTTCCCATGTCAGGAACACAATTCCGGGGTTTTCACACGTGTCTCTCTAGCTCTCGCTAGGGAAGAAAATGGCGGCGCGACTAGGAATTGGCGCAGATGGAGACAGAGCCAGAGCTCAGCGTAAGGCGCTCCTCGGCGAGGATGACGCCACTACAGTGTTCGAGACGAGCAAGGAGGTGACAGTTATCACCACGTTCGACCAGATGAGCCTAAAAGAGGACCTCTTGCGAGGCATCTATGCCTACGGTCGGTCAGCGGGCGGGGTCTTTGCTTGACCAACGAGGCGACTGTGTGTTTTTGTTTGTGCAGGTTTTGAGAGGCCGTCGGCCATTCAGCAGCGTTCCATCAAGCCTATTGCCGCTGGCAGAGACGTGATAGCCCAGTTAGTTGTGTTTTGTGGGAGAAGGGAGCCCGTTCTAACCTCTCTCTCTTCTCTGACCTACCACCTACCTAGGGCCCAGTCTGGGACAGGGAAGACGGCCACCTTTTCCATTGCAATGCTGCAGAAGGTTGACATTCAACTGAGAGAGACACAGGCTCTCGTCCTCTCGCCCACCAGGGAACTGGCTGTTCAGATTCAGAAGGTTTTCCATTTTCACACTCTCCGGCCCTTCCTCCGTCATTTTCCTCCCTTACTGCTACGTTTATTCCCTCGCTACTTTGTTCTAATTCCTTTTCTTCTCTATCCTGTACCCTCTTCTTGAACTTTCTCCTCTTTCTTTTCGTTCCTCCCTACAAATCCTCCCGCAGGTTGTACTGGCTCTGGGTGACTACATGAGTATCCAGTGCCACGCGTGTATCGGAGGCACAAACGTCGGCGAAGACATCAGGAAGCTGGACTACGGACAGCACATTGTGTCGGGGACACCCGGTCGAGTGTTCGACATGATCAAACGTCGCAACCTCCGTACTCGCAACATAAAGATGCTGGTTCTCGACGAGGCAGATGAAATGTTGAACAAAGGTCAGCAGCACACACCACCTGTAATACTGGAGAATGTGTTCATCTTACACTGTTGTACGTGTGTATGTATGCTGTGGTTGTTCATAGGTTTCAAGGAGCAGATTTACGATGTTTACCGATACCTTCCACCGGCCACTCAGGTATTCATGCCCCTACAACTGCAGTACATACCACCTTACATTCTCTCTCTCTCTCTCTCTCTCTCTCTCTCTCTCTCTCTCTTCTCCATCTCTTCGTGTGGCTGATTGAGGGCAGGTGGTGCTGGTGAGTGCGACACTGCCTCACGATATTCTGGAGATGACACACAAGTTCATGACTGAGCCGATCAGGATCCTCGTGAAACGGTGAGCTCCCCTTTATTCCCCACACACACACACCCACCCTCTCTCTCTCTCTCTCTCTCTGCAGTGATGAGCTGACTCTGGAGGGCATCAAGCAGTTCTTTGTGGCAGTGGAGAAGGAAGAGTGGAAGTTTGACACTCTCTGTGATCTCTACGACACACTCACAATCACTCAGGCTGTCATCTTCTGCAACACCAAGAGAAAGGTGGGGCGGACCACCTTCTACTCTAAAACTCAAATTTTATCCCCCGGCTCCATCATTTTACACCTTGCTCTCTATTTTTATCCCCTGGCTCTCTAAAATTTTATCCCCTGGCTTTCTGTCCTACTATGAAATTGTATGCATTGAGTAGGCATATATAGAACTCTGCTCATAATGCATGAGTATGTACCGTTGGAAAGTTAGCACTAGAGTCTGTCTAAGGTTCGTTTCTACTGGTGCATTCTCTCCCCCTGGTTCTCCAAACTTTCACCTCTCTCCCTCTGACCGCTGCCTGCCACCCGGTGTGCAGGTTGAATGGCTGACAGAGAAGATGAGAGAGGCTAATTTCACCGTTTCCTCCATGCACGGAGACATGCCTCAGAAAGAGAGAGACGCCATCATGAAGGAGTTCAGGGGAGGGGACAGGTGAGCCACGGCTGCTGGTTTTAGTTGTGAACTCCTTCCTTCCCCCTGCCTCTTGCCACCTTTCCCTCTCTCTCTCTCTCTCTTCTCTAGCCGTGTGCTGATCACAACAGACGTGTGGTCGCGCGGCATTGATGTGCAGCAAGTATCTCTAGTCATCAACTACGACCTCCCCAACAACCGTGAACTGTACATCCACAGGTCAGTGGGAACCGGGTTAAAACACCAGTATCAACGGGGTTAATTACCGGTGGGTGTGGTCTTCTCCAGAATCGGCCGGTCTGGACGTTATGGGAGGAAAGGCGTGGCCATAAATTTCGTGAAGAGTGACGACATTAGAATCCTGCGGGACATTGAGCAATACTACAGTACCCAGATCGATGAGATGCCAATGAACAGTAAGTCACTCCCTGTGTGTTTGCCATTTTAGTTAAGTTCGTGGGTTTTTTCCCTCTAAGAGTGATTATGTTACCGCACAAAAATTTATGCTATGTGTCCAGGTGCATAGATTAAATTGTTTAAGTCATGAAAAGTAACATTAGAATAATCGACAGAAGTATATACTATAATGTAAAACTGCTCGTATCTATAATTATACAGTTTGAAAAACCTTGCTCTTTCATTATCTTCTCATTTTTTGTTCTCGCAGTCAATGACCTGATATAAGAGCGCCATCAAACACTAACTGAAACTGCTACTAACTCTTGAACACAACTTCCCTATTCTGCATCTTTCTGTATATACTAGTATATATAATGCTTATTGCACCCAGTAACCTATATAGCTATAATAAATTAGTACTTTTTCGAATGCTTATTGCACTTTCTTCTGATTGTTACTGTGATGGCAATTGTTAAGAGAGAAATTTCATATATTTCGTATATATACTATAATACACAAGAAATGGAAGGAATGCATTGATCACGTAATAAACTCATTATGAAACTGAAAAATGTTGAGATGTAGTAAAATGTTGATTCCTGACACAATAAACAGTAGCTGTATAATAATATAATTGTACAGACATGTATAGCTATATAAACCAAGACATGGCGTATGATTGAAAGATGTAATTGGTGGGCGTGGCTTCGGCTTCTACCAGAGAGACTTACACATTGACAGTACAGAAGAGGGAGGAGGAAGACAAGCGGCAGAGACGACAGTAGTGAGACGAAAGCAGTGTGGCGGGCAGCAATTAGAATCCAGGCAAGAGAGGGATTCGAAAAGTGCTTCACATTACAGGATTAGAGGGAGAAATATGTTAGGGGGCGGGGCTAGACAAAGGTCTCCTCTTCATCTTGCAGCTGTTCCAAGTCGTGAGCGCGGAGAGTCCTGGTGCTGCTGTTGCTGTGCTCTGAGGAAGACCAGCTGGTTCCCAGCTGAGGGTCAATGCTTGCTGCTGCCGTCGCACACCCATTATTCCCTCCCCACACTGCCCCCACTCCGCGAGGGCGTGGAACGGCAGCGTGGGAATTGGACTGGGAATAGGGGGCATGTGTGTGGTTCTGGAGGATGGGGTTCATTGTGTGGGAGGTGTAGTGGCTGGCTCCGCCCATCGATTGCCCCGCCCCCATTGGGTACTGAAAGTGGGAGTGGTCAGACCCCCGTTGTAGCTGGTTGATTGGTCTCCGATGCCGTAGCGACCCCCGGGAGTTGATTTCTTGTTCGATGGCCACACGGTAGTACTCAAACTGTCTGACTATTTGCTCCGAGCCTTTCTTCAGCATTCTCTTGATCATGGTGTCCAGACCGTTGAGGTCTTCATATGAGTAGCGATTCCACTGCGGAACACACAGAGATGACGTAATGGTAATAACACGTGGTGCAGCCACAAGAAAACAACCATATTACATATCGCACCACCACCCACACTACACCTGTGCAATTACAATACAAACTCAACCACATATACTCTGAAAATCGGACACCAGCGTTGAGGTATAATATAATGGTGCGGAACACTATATGGCCCAACTCTCATCTTCAACAACACATCGTGTGTGTACTTATCTCAAGGCTGACAGTTGGGATCATGTGTAGGAGTAGCAATTTGGCAATGAGATCAAAACAGCCAGATCTGAATATTAGTTCCCCGTGATATCGGTGAAAATTTGCACTGTTAAGCTCTTATGATATTGTATTACAGTAAGATTGGCAATGGACGTGATTTGACTCTCTCACCGGAACATAGTCTTCCTCAGATCGATACGGAGCCCCTACGTACCCTTTCAGCCATGACGGTATCTCTGTAGAGAGAGAGAGAGAGAGAGAGAGAGTTCACACGCTAGTCGTGAAAATGATAGTCTTGGGGTATAATTATACATAACATGAGGTAAGATAAAACTCTCTGCAAGGAGTTTACTCTTTCACTGTGAGGGGATTAACGTTTACAACGGTGGCTGTATGCCAAATAGCACATTCTAAAGCTTTCAGTTGAGAAATAAACAAAAAGACATGGTGCAAGAAGACGGGCTCACCAGCTATCTGGTAGGGACTAGGAGGAACGTAGGTGACGGTGGAGAGCTGTTTGGAGTGCCAGACGGCGGCCATTGCGTTCTGAGTCTCCTGGTCCTTGAAGGACTTGGAGCGGCGAGGCAGGGATGCATTGGGATCCACCACCCTGTAGTTCTGGGTGTCCCTGTTAGCGGGAGGAGAGAGAGAGAGAGAATGGGAGAATTGAGATTCACACCAGCTCTATATTGTATGCATGATTATACTGACCCCTACACTGATAGTTGACAGACACTTTAAGTGAAATTCGCAACCTTTAGCTAACAGGGAAATTTTGAGGGAAAGGCATAACTTTTTCCTATAGTAGATGACTAATTGGATAATAGACTCAGGTCACCCACAGAGATCAGCACACAGCTGCTGACCTGTAAGAGTGGGAGCGAGGTGGCGGTTTTCTCTCTCTGGCTGAAGAGGTCCACTGCTCCGCTTCCTGCGAGTGTGGCACCCGATGGTAGGGGGGTGGGGGGCGAGAGTGGCACGGGTGCTGGTACATTGCGGTCTTGTTGTTGTGACTACACATGAAAACAAAAGATATCGTGACAGGCGATGTGGACAGCAAAAAACAAAACAGCCAGAGAAAGCAATGTACAGTACGAACTATGTCAGACCTAATGGTAGAGTGAGCACGAACAAGTGCATAGGAGCGACATTTAAACTGCTCTGTGTGACTGTAGATATGTACCAGTGCTTGATACTCTAGTAAAATTACGCCGTTCAACAATTACAGTGTATGTTGACTTACTTGACAAAGTAGGTTCCATATTGACTGGACTGAACAATCTCCCAGCCTGCCGGCAGGCCTGCAGCAACAACAGAGAACATTAACCCTCTATGCACTACACAACTTTAACCCTTCTGAAACCGAATTTTCACATCAACTTCTGGAAAATACACCAGAACAAGCTCCCTTAATACAACATTAACCCCCTGAAACTCTTGTGAGTTAACTGGAGCTATCATTTTAACCCTTCTGAAACCATATTTTCACATTAACTCCATGAAACGTCCACTGGTGTAATTTTAAGCCCTTTGATGCATCAACCCTCAAGATTTAAATACCACACGTTCATGACAGTATGGTTTGGATGGCGGGTTTTCCTAGACATGGGTCACAATAGATGAAACCTGGCAGGTAGGGGTGGTAGGGTGAGTGAGGGAACAACTGTTGCGTGTGTTGGGAGTAATTCAGCTGGTAATGTGCCACTTACTGGTTGATTCCTCTGCACTTGTGTCGTCAGGCAACTTCCAGTGAGTGGTCTGACTGTTGTGACTAGTGAGGAGGGAGGAGAGAGAGGAAAGAGAGGAGAGAGAGGAGAGAGAGGAGAGAGAGGAGAGAGAGGGAGAGAGGGAGAGAGGAGAGAGAGGGAGAGGAGAGAGGAGAGGGAGGAGAGGGAGGAGAGGGAGGAGAGGGAGGAGAGAGGACAGAGAGGAGAGAGAAACACAGAAAAAACAGAGATATTATAACCAAATTATGCACTAAAGGCCAATGTACACTCATTGGATGAGAATGCAAATTCAATATGTGGGTGTGATGGGTCCATGCTACAAAGCAACGGTTCCGTTCAGTGCTAAGGCAATGGCAGTGAGAAAGGCAGAGCTTCGAATACTGGTGTTGAGACAGAGAATGTGGGGTCTCACTCGAGGTAGTAGGTGAGGCCCTGAGCAGTGGTGGCAGAGGACCAGCGAGGAGGGAGAGAACCACTGCTGCTGCCTTGAGAGAGATAGTCTGAGGAGGAGGAAGAGGCAAGAGAGGGAGAGAGAGGAGAGAGAGAAAGGGAGAGAGAGAAAGACAAAACAAAATGAAAGTAACCCGACACACGCTGGCACAAAACGATGTGTTTCGAGTTTCCAAGCACACACCAGTCGTCACCAAGAGTACCAGTCGCCAACGTCCTTGATAAATATTTCATCTTACACAAACACACGTCCCCTGCCTTATTAGCACACATTTGGCATTCCTGTGGTCGGCTAACGAACCCCTCTGTCTGCCCGATTTGAACAAATTGTAGCAACTGGAATACGAATGACACACAAATTGGTCACCACAGGACCCATTTTGCAGCTGCACGCGTCGAACGTCGACATCACTACGGCAACCAACGACCTCTGAAACCCGGCCAAAAACGCCAAAAGTTCCTCCGGCAAACACAGAATTTTTCCAAAACGATGCTAATCGTTACGAATAAGGAAAAGCAGAACATGGTTGCCACAGTATAGCTACATAACTGGTGGAAAAGGACATAGCAATGCATTCTTGGGAAGCAACACACATAAGAAAGTTCAACCTTTGAACTACAATATTTGTGCAGGCACATTGTGGCAATGTTGTCGGGTATTTTGATGTGGAGTTGGGCTCCAGTAAAAGTTTTAGGATAGCAAAATTTGTATTGCATCCAACCCGGAACAATCAAAGAGGAGAACCCCTAAATCAAGGAGAAATGGGGAAGTAGACAATATTGTTTTTTGTGTGAACAGAGTGAGGTATTTGTCAGGTAAGCCCAGTGAGGTAACAGGTAAGACGGTGCCTGTGACAGCAGAGACCTGGCAAGGAGTGAGAACACGAGTCTCGAGGAATGTGTGAATTCTTCATCCCAACCAGTTGGCCAGTGAGTGGGCGAGAGAGAGAGAGAGAGAGAGAGAGAGAGAGTATAATCAAGCATCTCCTTCTCCTCTCCCTCTTCTCTCTCCCTCCCCTCTCCCTGCCTGGCCTCTCAAAAACTCCCTTTTCAGGCCTTTAGAGTTCAAGCATGTGAGGAATTTGCCCTCTTTTGTGTGTCGCCCCTTTCTTATCTGGCTGGCTACTGTAGGGACCACTCCTTAAGAATTCAATTAAAGGAGGCCTCAGTCACACCTCAACACCACCCAACATCCACAGTTAGCTCTTCTTATCCCCCCTGATTCCTTCTAACGTCAATCTTCTATAATACGTACACATACCAACATACAATTACACCAGCAGTGTGGCTATTGACAGGTACTGCCATCCCAAATGCAAACAAACTATATACCACAGGAGAGAAAGACCCATATTATCATACATATATACCGTGTATGGAGAAGGAAGGGCACACTACAAGAGTGGCATAGCTGACTAGTGTCGTGGATAGCCAACTTTGGCACGAGCCCCTACATCCCAGCAGGTATATACAGTACCATACCTCAACCAGACCAATTCATAGCTATATATATAGCACAGGTCTAAGACAATCGATCAGGCAAGAAGTAGCAGGTTGCAGATAGAATTATAGCCACACGGAGAAGCTCGCTAACTCTTAATCAAGGCTCCCTCGTGTAGGAAGGAAAGAGGAGAGAGAGGGGCACATTCCTGAGATGACAGAGGGCCAGACAGGAAGATGGTGGGCGGGCAGAGACTGGCCCACAGCTATGGCGCTCTCTGTGTGTGAGGACCAACATATGTGGCTCCGAGCCTCATACATACTATATAGCCCTCCTTCAACATGTTCCTGCCTCCCTACATTCCTCCAGGGCTGCATTACAGTATATGTACATAGGGTTGAATCTCTACTTCACCGTCTAACCAGTACAAAAATGTAATCCACAGCCTGACACGAGGTCTGCGAGGTAAAATGTAATCCACAGCCTGACACGAGGTCTGCGAGGTAAAAGGGAGCACTCTGTGAAGAGAGCGGCTCTTTGTTGCCCTGAGAAGCCCCCTCCCCTGGAATGTAGGGATGAATGAGACTACCCTCCCCTCCCCCTCTCTCCGGCTCTGGGAAAGAGTGGAGGTATTGATGTACTTCCTATGCAGCTCAGGCTAAAGACCCAAAGATTGGCTCCCACCCTTGCAATTAGCAGACAATGAAACTCCCCCTTTACCCCTCTCGTTCAAAGAACCGATATGGACATCATGGGTGGCTCTGGAATGTAACACATACACCCTCCTTTTAGAGCTGCGCCCACAAAGGAGACATTATTTATACCCCCTCTCCTTCTGCTCCTCCTCCCCCTCTCTCCACTGGCCTATAGGAACGTATGTACATATGCAGTGCAGGCATGCAAACACAGCATACACACACGCGTGTGGAGGAAGAAGGAAAGATGATGGCAACAGTTCAGCGGCAAGCCAAGTCTCCATGTAACTGACATTCCAGGCAAGGCCCAGGACGACAGGGACGTACACACCCAAGTACGTGTCACGTAGCGGCGAGCCAAGATTGCTTGCATCTCTCTCTCTCTCTCACTCACAACCAACAACGTCTTCCTGATGTAATTATATTCCCACCCCTCTCCCCCCTTATCCCTCCTTATCCCCTCTCCTCCTTCATGCGTACCAAGTGAAGCCCCTCTATACCGGACCAATTACTATAATTTACGAAGTATTTTTGTTAATCAACCTGAACAGACCAGACACTGCAATTATAGGGTTTTGCCTGGAGAAATGTCCACGGTACCATCTGTTCACTCGTTCAGCACCCTCCCTCCCTCTCCTCCCTCTCTCCCGGCTATGCCGCAGTTCAGCTAACTGGATTCCAACCGCCCCTTCCTACACCTTTGCAGGAATTGCCGGGCGTTTTGCTTGCATTCCACATCCCCTCTTCATACCATCTCCCGGACACACACTGTACAGTTTGCTAACACATGTACACACATCACCGTGTATATACATAATTACGGTCATTCCACACAAATGGGATCAGACCCAATACTCCACTACAGATACGCTAATGGACGTATAGAGAAACAGAGGTGGACTTGACCATCAGGGCAAAATTTTTGCAAGAGGAGTATCCCGATTAGAGAGTTGTTCTGATTTTTTGAGGTGTATGGATTATATAAATGTTTTCATGGGGAAAATGTACGTACTTGTGAGAACTGTATTACTATCTGTCATTATAAGCGGGCAGAAGGTTCGCTCTCCACATAGATGGGACAGCCACATGCACAGTAGGAATGAAGGCAAGGAGAGGAGAGGAGGAGAGGAAGAAGGAGACTTACCGTGTGGAGGGGAGGTGTGCGTTTCAGGGGAAGAGGTGCCTTCTGTCCTCACAGACGTCAGTGTCTGAGCCACTGGGGTTGACGGCTGGGATCGAAACGGTTTCGAACTCTCAACGCCCGAATCATTGGACACCCGTCGCGGATCCACCGAAGTCCCCGTGTCCGACATCCGCCTGATATCGGACGATGACGAGGGGGCCCCGACTATCCCGGGGGGCAGCTCTGCGGAATTCCTTCGAGGGGGCGAGGCGGTCATGAGATCCTGTGCAATCTGGGGGTACTCTGGGTGACTAGGAAGAACAGGGGCCTGCGTGAAATCGAACGAACTCGTGTCTACCCAGAGAGACTCGACGGTGTCTTCCTGAGTACGGGGCGGTATCCGTCCGGCGGGTCGACGGTGGGCTCCCCTCTCCTCTCCGAATGCTGCGGAGGTCGAGGGTACCTCTGTCGCATGCAGCGGCATGGCGGCGATCGAGTGGTGTCTGTTATCGCTCACCCTCGTCTGGAGACCCAGGTTCTTGAGCGAGGAGCTGGAGCAGGAGCGGGGCAGAGGAGCCACGGCGATGGAGTACGGGCGGAGATTGGAGTCGGTGGAGTTACTGGGGGCGTGGTTTATGTAATCGTTGGAGTCGTAAGAGTACTGGCGATGACGGTCGAACACGGAATCAACCACCACACCGTGGCTCACTCGACTGTGGCCTGACATGCGGAACGAATCGTTTCGGACAAAGTCTGCGGTACCGTAGGTATAGCTGGAATTGGAGCAGTCTGAACCAATTGATCGCGGCCGGTTCGACAACTTGTG